TCTATAAACTCGTAATATATACTTCCTCCGTTTTCATTTATAGGATAAACTATCATTTTTAACTTTTTTTTTATAAGCAAAATTATATTTTTCAATAGGTATTTATTGCAAACTTCCTAAATTGCCCTCTCATAATTTTATCATTCATAGTCATAAAAATAATTAATGAAGATTTGATTAACACAATTAATAAAGGGTATTGTAGTTCAATTCTTTTATTTTCAGATACAATTAATCTAGTTAACTAATTTTTTTAAACTGTGTGATACAGTTTTTTTCTCCTACAAATAGAAACGGAGGGAGTCGTTCAAATATTTTAGAATAGTGTGAATTCTATTTTTTTAAAATGATAAAACTTTTAGGATGCTTCACGTTTGAACTAGTTATCCATTTTGCTCCATGAAACTTAATGTTGATGAATTAAAATTTTGAGAAGTTTTAAAATTAGACAAACACAATCAATCATGATGGTTTGAAGGAGAAATAACACCACAAAGACCAATTTTGTGTAGTTGCGAAATTTTAATAACTTGATTGACAAATACTAAATTTAATTTCAAGGATCAAGATTGAGAACTAAAGAAACTTGAGGAATCAAAGGCTGGTTTGTTTTTGTTCTATTTTTTCTGAAAAAAAGAAGGGAAAACATATCTTTTGGTCCCTGCATTTTTTTTTTCCTGTGTTTTGGGTCCTTACACTTTGTTCATTTTGTTTATTTAGAGACCTAGAATACTGAAAAATAAAAGTGTAGGAATCTAGAATACTGAAAAGAGTGTAAGAACTTATAGTAAAATACAAGCAAAGTGCAAGAACAAAAGGTATATTTTCCCAAAAAAGAAAGACTGTTTTGTAAACTAGTTTTTTAAAATTTGCTTTTCAAAACAAAAATAATAATGAAAATCCTTTGATTTTGTTAATTTCAAAAAATAATTCTAGAGTTAAAAAAAATCAATAAAGGTGGTTGACAGTGATCAATAATGATGGTCCCTGATAATGGTTAGTCATAGTTAAAGATAATTTACAATGATCAAATATAATATGCTTTAAAAATAAAAAAATAAAAACAATTTTAGTTTGTTTTCATTAAAAAAAGAAGAGAAATTTTAAAAATATTTAAATTAACAACACTTAATCAAATGAATTTTTTATATTTTTTTTTAAAAAATAGTTTTCGAAAACAGAAAAAAAAAAACTGACTCTAAAAGTTTTCATTTTCCTCTCTTTTTCAAATATATGAGAAGTCTTCAAAGAAATATGATTTCAATGAGAAAACCACATATGCCCGGTTGTAATGATTTCCGTCATTATCCAATACTATACTCCACTAACCAAAACGACTAAGGCAAAGAAGGATCAACCTAGACTGAGTCCCTCTTTATACAAAAGCCACCTGTCACCTGTCAATTCATTCCACGTGTTATCATGTCATTTGCCACCTTGTGTAACGTGTGGTTAAAATTGAATAAGGGAAAGAAAATGAGAAAATTTCATTTATGCATGAAAATTTACAATGAAAAAAAAAAATCTTCCTTGATGAATGATACAATTAACCCAAAAACCATCTAAGGGGTAACACATGTGGTGACGATGCAATCTCCTTTCTGAATACCTAACCCTTAAATCTTTACATAGGTTTAGGGTGTAGCCAACTTATTGATCAATGACTAACCTTTCAATATTCCAACAATATAAATTGATTTAAACACTATATAACTATGATGATCAATTTAAGAGAGTTATTTAGTTACTTATGTAATTTAATCAAGTTATTCTCAAGACCAAAGAAAAATATGCCAAAAAAAATGGATTTATGAAAACTAACACCTCCTATTCATATTTCATCAAACCTAGGCCTCGTATGACAAATCGCATATGAATGAAGTAGGGGAAGGATCTACTAGTAGGCTCAACTCATTTTGGCCAATCTTAAATGGGCTCAAGCTTAGAAATTTTGTTATCTCAAAATTGATTATTTTTTCAAGGTCATCCCTTATATACCGCGTTTAGGATTGGCCTGAAAGCTTTTTATTTTTTTAATTTATTTTTTATATTAAATTTGTCATTATTAGTTCATACATTTGTTACAAAATATGGATTAAAATGTTCTAACATCCAAAATAAGTAATACAAATACAGATTTTAAAATTTAAATTTAATCAAAATATATAAAAAAACCATAATTTGTAGAGTTAAAATAAATATGGGTTTAAATGGGCATCTCGAGAGCGAGCCTATTTTTTCAAGACATAAAAGGATGAGGCTCAAAAGCCCTCTTATATAAAAATAACCCAATTTGCAAAGTCTAAGCTAAAAAAAAAAATGACTTGAATGGATTGCCTGATGAGCTTAGTCCGTATTCCTAACCCTACATATAAACTATGAATAGTACAGAACTGGCCAGAGACTAATTTCTATCTATCCAAATTAAAAGAGATAGTTAAATTATTAATATTATCTGAAAAAAAAAATTCTCAATTTATCAGTGGTAAATTTACCATTTTTATAACTACTTTTCTCTTATACTTTCCCGTGCTTGTATGTGGGATGCTTAGCTTTCTGAACAATTCTGTCATTATCATCTTCATGATGTGGCAACAAAATTATTAAATTATCTGAGGTGTAACAATTTTGTCATTATACAAGGGGTGTTGCAGCCTCATCCATCCCTCTGCCTCAAACGTCCACTCAATGAGTGTGGCATTGGAAATTATCCTTATTAAATTAAATGAACGAAAGAAATTTTACGATAGAAAGTAGAAACACTAAAAATTGCAATAATTACAATAAAGAGAAACTCAGTGCAAACAAATAAGGTGGACAAGGGGCAACCACCTCCTCAAGGCCTGATCCATCCCTCAGCCTTAAACGTCCACGTCCACGTCTTCTTAACTTGTTCTTAATATCTATCAGTATCTATCCATCCTCAGATTCTTTCTGCCGCCCCTTTCATCTGGGTTCATAATGTTGGATGATATTTTACAATCGCATGCAATGTCATGTCAATATTTAATGACAATACAAATAATGTGGACTGTAAGTTACCCACTGGTTTTCATCCTCTTGACAGACTTTTTCTCTTCCTTCTTTAGTTTGTTTTGCTCGGTATCACAACTAGAGTCAGGAATAAGAATCTGATTTAAAAGGTTAGGCTTAAAAATTCTGTTTAGATAAGAGTTTAAACTTTAAAAATTAATTTTTTTTAAAGTAACCGAACTTGAGAGCCTGGCCCTGATAAGCTTGTGAAAAAGAGCTCGAGTTTGAGTGGCCATTCAAGTGCTAATAAGTCAGGTTATCTTATATACACACACATACATACATATATTTGACTGATAATGACACAATTTGATTAATATTTATTGTAGATGATGAAGAAGAAGTTGTAAAAATAATTGACATTAAATCTCCACCTCCATATTTAACAAGTGGACATGCATCTAAGGGATCTAATATTTTATTTTTAGATGATGATAATGATAATTTAGATTTACATTGATGAAGATTTTAATCTTCATCATAAATTTAAAATTTTAAATCTTTGGCAAATTTTATGTTGAGTTTTATGTGAAACTTTAATTTGTTTTATATTGGATTTGAAGATATTCCTACATCTAAGGGATCTCATATTTTATTTTTAGATAATGATGAGAATTTAATTTACATTGATAAAGATTTTAATCTTTATTTTAATTTTAAAATTTTAAATCTTTTTCAAATTTTATATGTTGAATTTTAAAATATTCTATTTAAATTAAAATGTTAAATTTTTTAAAAAAAAAAAGACTTAAGGGCCCGGCTCTAAGCCTTATAAATAAAAGTCGGGCCTTAAAATTAGATCAAATTTTAAGTAACTGAATTTTAGAACTTGAGCTCTTACGAGCTAGACTTATAAGCATCGGATCCACCCTGACTCCCACCTTTAATCAAAACAAAACAAAACGAAAAAGTACTCTTGGATCTCTACCACACACCCTCTTGCTCTTTCCCCAATACATCTACGTCACTCCATTTCTATTCGTTCAATTGTTGGTACGAGTAGAATGGGTTATAATTATTTAAAAAAGCGTATTTAATTAATTTTGACTTCCTCTTCTTTTTAAACTTTATGCTAAACTAGATTATACCCCTGTACGATGCATAAGTACAGGTTATTGCTGCTATTTTTTTTTCTCAAACATTTAAGCTAATTTTTGTAGTTAACTGAAAATAATTTCAATATTATTTATCATGGCAAAGATCTTTTAATTGAAATAATATTATCTAGAAGAAGATTTGAAAAATATGGAGGGAATTTGAATTGGAGGGAGATTGTATACTAAAAAAGAAGTGAACATATTTTTTTTCCAAAATCTTTTAAAGAGTAGATGAAATTAAAAAAATTTAACAATAAAATATAAGCACAATAATCAATGCAATATAAAATTGAAAAATACAGCCTGATAATTAAAATAAATTTTATAATGATTACTTATTTTTAGATTTTTAAATTTAAAACACGTATAAAATTTTTAAAAAAGTATAAAAGACATTTAACAAAAAATAACAGTCACCAATCAGATGATAACACTTCAACGTTACTATTGTTTTTCTTATCATTTTAAATGTTTATTTTATATTCATTTTATATTCATGCTTATCCATTAATAGCTCAGAAATAAATATGGAAATTTCCACTATAAAAAAAAGTGTATTTTTGCTACCAACAAATGTTGGTCCGCGTAGAAAGAATTATGATTATTTAAAAACGAAGTCTCAAGTTCAAGTCCATATAAATAGAGAAAATGCCTATAAAAGAGCTATCCCAATTAGGTTTGACAATATTCAAATCTAATCCAGCTCGATAAAAAGAAGTGTATTATATCTTTTTTAAGATAAAAATTGCTTTGAATATCTAACTATTATTAATCCTATCATGTGTTTATTTTTTTTTTCTTAATTAAATACAGGGGCAAAAAGAGCTGGAGCATCTATTCCTTCCCTCTATATATACTCTCTCTCTCATACACACACATATACTGAAGCCTTGAGACCAAGCATTACTTTGAACTTGGGTTACAAATTTGCTGTAATATTATGGCTCTTATTCATCTTCCTCAAGTAGCTTTTCTCACTAACATGCTTCCTCTGAATAAAACACCCTCTTCAGTTGCAGCCATAATATCCAAAAACTTCAATGCTCCTTCTTTTACAGTCCAGTGCAAGGCCTCATCATCAGCTAGGGTTTCTGATCAGACTCAGCAAGTTTCTCGTAGATCTGGAGACTTCCAGCCTGATGTTTGGCGCTATGATTATATTCAGTCACTGAATAATAATTATACGGTCTGCCAAGCTAATTCCATTCTTATATATAATTAGCCATTAATTTTCATATATATGCATTTTGCGTTCAACCGCTTAGTACCAATACTTCAACACTTTGTAGTTATAATTCCATTCTTATTGTCGTCATATATAGTTGTTTTTATTTCCAGCAAATAATTGTTAGATATTATCAATGCAACATGCAGGAACAAGCATATAAAGAAGAAAGCAGAAAACTTATGGCAGAAGTTAGGATACTGCTTTCAGAAACAGTGAATCGTGTGGACCAACTTGAGCTTATAGATACCTTACAAAGGCTTGGACTAGGTTATCAATTTAAAAGTGAAATAAACAAGATACTGGAAAATATTTATAATGTGAGCAGGTTCAATAACAAGCTGAATCTACATGCCACAGCACTCGAGTTTCGACTCTTGAGACAGCATGGCTATGATGTATCCCCAGGTATGGAAAAAAGTTGCCACTGATGAATTAGTTGACAAAATTTCGCTAAACGACTTAAACTACCTATTTGTTGTTGCAGACGTGTTTGGTAGCTTCAACAATGAAGAGGGTGATTTTCAAACAACTTTATCTCAGGATATCAAGGGAATGCTTTCTTTATACGAAGCCTCGTTTCATTTAATGGAAGATGAAACTATTCTAGAAAAGGCTACAAATTTCACCTCAAAATCTCTGAAAGATTTTGTGAGCAACAACACCGAACATGAACTGACAAGCCAAGTGAAACATGCTTTGGAGCTTCCATTACATTGGAGGCTTCCAAGATGGGAGGCTCGTTGGTTCATTGGTGAATATGAAAGAATGCCTAATATGAATCCAACTATACTTCAACTTGCAAAATTGGATTATAACATGGTTCAAGCCATGTACCAGGAAGAAGTGAAGTCCAATTTCAGGTGCGATATATACACATTAATTAAAATATTTGGTCCAAATATAGTCTTCATTCACAAAATGAATATAAATGATGCATTCAACATGTAGTAAAAAAAACGAAGTACGAAAATGATGGTCTTGTAGGGATGCCTTATACTTAAAATATTTGTTTTTAATTAAATTAATTGAAACATGTGGATCATTTATATATTATTTATCCTATAATATATTTTTCTTATCAATATTATTAACATATTAAAATCCACCAATTTTCATTTGACTGGATAAAATGACGTTAAGTATAGAAGGTTAAGTAAGTCTTGCCCTTTATAAAATATTTTTTCATAAAATTACATATAATAATGAAGTTTATTAAATATAGTTAAAATATTGTTGATAAAAAAATATAGTTTACAACATTAGTTTTTTATAAACTTCCAAAAATTCCCTTTATTAATAAGAGAGAGAAGAAAAATCATTTAAGGAATGAAATAATGAGGGGTAATATTGAAATAATTATCATTATATTAATGAAATCTTATTTTTGTCAAAATTTCTTGTACATCAAATCATCTAAAAAAATATCTTATAAAACGGGATGGAGGGAGTATTAAATATAGCCATTTTTTTTTTTTTTTGAAAACATACGATCACATAATGGGTAATTTGTGAATGTGAAAAAATTAATCTATTGAAATAACTGATAGTCGAGTTGATATGGACAAGCTAGGTTTATATATATATATATATATATATTAATGTTAATTAAATTGTGTGTTTGATTTGAAGATGGTGGGAGAGAACAGGGCTGGAGAAGAAGGTAAACTTCTTCAGGTGTAGGGTGGTGGGCAGCTATGTATGGAGCCTAGGGATAAGGGATGAGCCACATGCTGGCAATTTAAGAAGAGTCATTGGGAAGCTTTGTGCCACAATTACACTAACAGATGATCTCTATGATGTTCATGGCACTTTGGAAGAATTAGAGCTCTTCACACAAGCCATTTCCAGGTTTGAATTTTTCAGAATATAATCAATTCAACTATTATAAATTTCATGAGATTATATTATTATTAAGTTTTTGAAATTGTAATATAGTAAGTTTAATTTCGTTCTTAAAAAGGAATCTTCTAAAATTTGAAAGTAGTTTTTTCAAATTTTGATTTTTAATATTTTTATCGTAAATTTATTAACATGAGTTCTTCCACAATCCTAAATGTTTGGAAAAGCTGCATTGTAAAAATTACATATTAAAAATTTTAGGTTAATGACTTTCAAAAATCAAAGTTATCGCTGAGTTTTACAGAAATAAGTGTGTGTGTATATATATATATATATAAAAGTAGAACCACAAGCTACCTTCCAAGCTCGACACGTGTCCTTTTTTCCCCCTAAAAATGCTGCAAATGCAAACTGCCACTCAACTTCATTTAATTCTATTAACTTATTTTTGTAATTTCAATTTTCTATTTTAAAAAATTATTTATTTTAACTAACTTTTTCCTCATTCCTCTCTCCCACTCTCTTTGCATTGTAACTCCCCATAATCCTATTCCTATTCTAAACATTTAATTTTAAAAACCAATAGATGATGGCAAGATAAAAATAAGAATGAGAAATGATATATTATTTATTATGATGAATAATATAATAATATTTTAAATGGAGTAAATCTATATATCTATACGCAAAAATAGAATAGCAGGCCTCCTTCTAGATTCAACATATATGCATTTTTTAAAATGTTGTGATTATAAGTTATCCATGTGAACATTAATTTCCAAAATAATTCTTTTACAGAATACCCAAAAAAATTATAGATAATAACAATATTATCTTTAAATTGTAAAAACGACTTCCTGTTATCTTTACATTTTCTCTCGCACGAACTTATTCATTATCATAACTCCCCATCTCCATCATCCAAAATATACAATTTTAGCATGCACATTAGATTTTTTATTAAATCTTTTTAAATATTAAAAAATTATTATATTTAAAATTAAAATGAGTTATTTTAATTCCTATTTTCCCTTACTTCTCTCCCATTATCTCTCCCACTCTCCTATTATCATAACTTTCCATAATCTTTTTCTTATTTTTAGTTTTTAAATTCTAAGTACACAAACATGCGATCACATTGAGCAATTATAAAGCACATGAAATTTTTTTTCAATCCTAATATCATTCAATCGCTCCATTCCCTCATTAAGACAAGCAAAATCACAAAACTCTCATTCTCTTTGACTCCTCCCTTTGTCCGATGCCTTCTCACCTCTTGTGTCATCTTTTATGATGATTTTTCATTCCAAGCCAATGGTGTAATGATTTTGTGTTTGTTGAAAATTGAAAGAGTAATTCAATTTATAATAAATCTCATATTTATGGTAGATACCAGGTAATTGCACATAATCATACATTTTGTAATTTTTTTAGTGAATCTTCCTCCATTTTTCTAAATCTCTCTTTCGTAAGTCATAGAACTGAAAAAACTTACTATGTTCTATTTTAGTGAAGTTATGGTTTCATAGAATTTAATATGTTAGTTTTTGAAATATTTATAGTAAATTGTATAATAATTTGTTAAATATTTCCCAACTCTTCAGGCATATTGAAATGGAATGAAGGGGAAGATATACATTATCAAGGTTCTTCAAATCAAATTAAAGCAATTTTTCTTCCACTCCTCATATATATATCTTGGCTCTTGGGCATCTCCTTATAATTTTTTTTTTTGAAAAACATGCTCATAATAATTTACTCATAATGATCCAAATTTCTTGATTTTGAATAATATTTTAATGATTTATGTTTAATTTTAATTTTTATTGGAATTATAAATGTCAAGTGAATTAACTGAATTTAAAACTTTTAATATATATATATATATATAATTTGTATTTGAAGATAATGACTCAACCATCAAATTTGTGTTTTGACCTTGATGATATTTGATATTATAATATCTAAACTACAAGATTTGAAAGTATTGATTTTTGAGTTGAAAATTAAGTTTTTAAGATATATTAATATGTTTATCTGTTGATATTTATAAATCATAAAAATTATAATACTTCAAAAATTTATCTACCCTCACATGATTTAATAAAAAAGATAGAGCCATATAATTTTTATATTTACCTTATAATATTAATTTTTCATGGATTATACGTGAGAAAAACATTACAAACTATGTAATTATTAGATAGACTTACAAATGATAAAGAAAAAAAATACAAAATTGCAATATCAGCATAATAAAAGTAATAAATTATATTATGGTTTAAAAAGAAGATATATCAACAATTGTGGGATGGACCTGATCAACTATAGTAGCTTCCCTTTGAGAGTGAAAACAAAACAAAGCGAAGAAGATTGGTGGATGGGTCAAAGAAAGGAGGCAAAAGGTATGAAGAGGGAGGCCACCATAGTTTTGGGCATTTGAGAATTCATGATGAATTCTTTAGTCTTCATTTTTATAATTCTGCACTCATTTTATTAGTTAATATTGCAATTTATTTTATGTAAACTTTTTTCATTTTTATTAATTAATATTTTAAAATAATTTTATTTTAGGTTAAAAAATACACCGTGCATTGCACGGGTACCATACTAGTTTTTTAAAAAAAAATTGAAGAGCACATTTAATTATTTAACTTTATACAATGTTTTATTTAGTCTCTTAATTAATTTTATAAGGTATATATCTTTTCAATTATTTGACCCTAATGCTATTAATTTTATCCTAAACCCTAACCCCTAATAATTAATAATATCAACAAAACATTCTTAAATGTTGATATATTATGTTTATTTAAAAAAACAATGATTATTAAACTAATTATTATTATGAAGATCTTTTAATTACTTCAATTTGTAAACATCTATATATGTTCTTATAAATATATGTGCATATGTAGTTTTTCCTATATATACATGTGTTCTCCTTCAAGAGGCATAAATATTGTAATTTGATTATTAGGTGGGACACAAATGACTTAGGTAGCCTCCCAGAGTACATGAAAGTGGCATTTTTTGCAATCTATGACTTTGTGGATGAACTTGCTTCTGACATTCAGAGAGAAAAAGGGCTTAACGTGGATACATACCTCAAGAAAGGGGTATGCATGTCATATTAATTACTGGCTTTAATTTATAGCTATAATATTATCTCTTCATAAACTTGTTTATTACATTGATGATTAATTAATTTAAATTAAACATATATTACAGTGGCAAGATATGTGCAAGGCATTTATGGTAGAGGCGAGATGGTACCATGGTGGAAAAACGCCAAGCCTGAAAGAATATTTGGAAAATGCATGGGTTTCAATTGGAGGACATAATTACTTTCTTCATACTTATCTTACTATGCCAAATAATTCCATCAAGAAGCAAGACTTGGATTTCTTAGATCAACGACTTTCAAATCTCCCTTACCTTGCAGGACTTAATTTCCGCCTTCTTAATGACATCGGATCTTTTAAGGTGACACTCATCATGTCGTGTGCAATTTTATGAGAACATCCCTATTCTACATGCAGCCTTGTAATTCCTATCATTTTGTTCTGATAATGTTTAATTAATTGTAACAGCGTGAGCAGGAGACAGGTGATGTATCGTCGGCAATCCAGTGCCATATGAATGACACTGGAGCTTCAGAAGAAGAAGCGATCGAACACGTAAAGTCTCTGATATATAAAACATGGCAGAAGACGAATCAAGAAGTTGCCACGTCATCATCCTCCTTCCCTCGAGATTTCAATGTCACTGCTTGGGGACTTGCGAGGTCTGCAACTTTCCATTACCATTATGGAGATGATCCCTTCACTTATCAGGATTCTCAATTCAAGGAGCGTCTTCGTTCATTGCTTTTTGAGCCCATTCCCATTTAGGTGATGATGATGTTTAATCAAAGTCTTGAGACTGTTAATTTCAAGTCATTGTACTTATATGAAAAAAAAAAGAAATATATATAACTTTATATCTTAGTTGTGTGTTGTAATATTTTTTATTCAACTCTTATTATTTACAAAATAAAAGTTGTGGTTAAGGTTTCTTATTTTCAACAAGGGTAAAATGATATTTTTATTTTAAAATTTTTGCATAGAGGTGTTAAGAACTTCATTAAAATTATAACATTTTGAGGGATTTTTAAATATATAATTCGAAGAGATTTTACTATCATTTTTGCTATAATTTATTAATTAGCAGTAACTGTTTTTTATCGCAGCTTAAAATTAATTTAAAAAAAAAAGATTGAACGTTGAATCTACTGATGATTAATTAGTGGTAATTTTTTTATCGTTATTGAAAAATACATCGCGCTATATGTCATCTGTCAGCCCTTTCCACGTGTTTGAAAACTTAGGGAGTGGAACAAGCAGCAACCACTTCCTCAAGGCCTGATCATCCCTCAGCCTCAAACGTCGACGTCCATATCTTCTTAACTTGTCCTTACTCTCTATCAGTATCCATCCATCCTCGGATTATTTCTGCTGCTCCCTTTCATCGGGGATCATAATGTCTTACGTACGCATGTAATGTCATGTCAATATTTAATGACAAAACAAATAACGTGGACTGTAACTTACCCACTCGTTTTCATCCTCTTGACTTTCTTTAGCTTGTTTTCCTCTGCATCAAAAAGGAATCTTGGATTTCTACCATACGCCCTGTTGTTCTTTTCCCCAATAGATCTGCGTCACTCCATTTCCATCCATTTGTTAGATAAATAAAATATTGAAATTTCCAGTTTTACACATTTGTATTTCATTTGATTTCATAATTAACTTTGACTTCTTCTTCCTTTTAAACTTTATCTTAGACTAGATCATGTTCCTATTGGTGCTATTTTTTTTTCAAACATTTATGCTAATTTTTGTGGTTAACTGTGAAAATAATTTTAATATTATTTATCATGACAAAGATGTTTTAATTGAAATAATATTATCTAGAAGAAGATTTGAAAAATATGGAGGGAATTTTAATTGGAGAGAGATTGTATATTAAAAAAGAAGTGAACATTTTTTTTTCAAAAATTTTTAAAGAGTAGATGAAATTGAAAAAAAAAATTAACAATAGAATATATGCGCAATAATCAATGCAATATAAAATTGAAAAGTACAGCCTGACAATTAAAATAAATTTCATAACGATAAGTTATTTTTTATTTTTAAATTTAAAACATTTATAAAATTTAAAAAAGTATAAAAGACATTTAACAAAAAATAACAGTCACCAATCAAATGATAACACTTCAATATTACTATTGTTTTTACTATGGAATAAACAATAACAAAGTTTATATTTTACAAAAAGAAAAGATTTATTCTTATCATTTTAAATGTTATTTTATATTTATTTTATATTCATGCTTATCCATTAATAACTCATAAATAAATATGGAAATTTTCACTATTTAAAAAAGGTGTATTCTTGTTACCAACAGATGTTGGTCCGAGTAGAAAGGATTATAATTATTTAAACATGAAATCTTGAATTCAAGTCCATATAAATGGAGAAAATGCCTATAAGAGAGCTACCCCAATCAGTCTGACGATGCTAAAATCTAATCCAATTAGATAAATATATAAAGGAATCGTATTTTTGTTTTTTTAACAAAAATTGCTTTGAATATCTACCTATTATTAATCCAATCTCGTGTTTATTTTTCTTCCTTAATTTTAAATACAGGGGCAAAAAGAGCCGGAGCATCTATTCCTTCCCTCTACACGCACGCGCGCATACACACATATATATTGAAGCCTTGAGACCAAGCATTACTGCAAAAATAGCTTATAAGAGCACTCATTTTTGCCCAATGGAAATGCTTCAAAAGGGCTTCCATTATCTAGCGCTCTTGTATATATGAAAGGCTTATTACGGGAGTAGTTGAAAAGTGTTCATGTAAGTAATGTATGCGAAAGATGTAACATTCCAAAAAAAATTTTCATAATTTATTAATCTAATGAAAAGTAATTATGGAAATTTAAGTATAATTGGGTTTGAGGATAGTTAGAGACGTCTATTGGGTTTAGCTTTAACTTTTGAATTGGATTCGAAAGTAAATTGGGTCATATAGGCTTAAATTATAAAGAGAAATTGAATTTTAGCTCACAGTGCGTTATGTTGCCGCATAAAAAATTATGCCGCAACATAATTTTCTGAATTAGTTTTTAAAACGTGAAAATTAGTTTGAAAAACAGAGTGTAAGATCTAAAACAAAGAGGGGGCGACTAAGAGAGTGTTTTCTTTGCTAGGGCTTCAATTTTTGGGCATTTTGAAAGTGTTTAAAGCTTGATTTCATCTAAGTATGCCTTCTTTATCTCTTCTTCTTCCCTCTACATGTTTTGGAAGTGAGATTCAAAGTTGGGAAATGATGATTTTCATATTTAAGGCTATGAGTTCGAACTCGTTGGTCTAAATGGGATTAATGGGAGTTGTTTAAGTATTCTACATATAGTTTAGAAGTTTTTACAAGGTTATAAGCTTGGGTCATCTATTTTAGACAAACTCTAAACCTTCAAAGTGTGATTTTGGATGGTTGGGTATTATATTAGTGATTATATAAGTTAATGGAAGCTAAATGGAGTTAATAAAAATTAATAAACTTAATGGTTATGCTTAAGTGTAAGAGATTAAAATTTTGGATAATTAAAGTGTTGATTTATTAAAGTTGGAAGAGTGTTTATGATGATTTTAATGATGATTGGTATAATTAATTGTAGATCAATAATCTTGTGTACTATTCAAGCTTTGGTATAGCCTGTGAAAAACTTTTATTGAGGGGTAAACCTTTAACCTCTTAAAGGTTTGAAGTAATTGGAAAAAACTTAGTTGTATAGTTGAATATTAATTGATTGTTTGTTGAAATAGTTGATTTGAAACATGTTTCATAAATGAAACTCATGATGCAAATTTAGGATGGTTGGTGTTGTATTATTGTTACAAATTATATGTATGTTTATATATATGCTAATAGTGATCATGAATGAGAAATTGTGATTATGTACTAGTTAGTGTGTGGAGTGAGTTGGGTTTGAGTATAGATATGTAAACTCATAATATGAACGGTTGATTATAATGCATATACATATGTGATATACGTGCATAGCATGATCATTGGCAAGAGTTTGCCTAGGGAGAGGAGTAGTTGACTAAACCCACGTGGTATTAGCAATGATCGTTGGAATCGAAAACTTGCCTTGGCACCGACCGTTAGAATTGGGAGGTAACCCTTGTCCTATAGTTTATTCAAGACTGTCCTACTTGTTCTATAAGGGACTTAAACCTAACTAGTCTCCACCGGTTTATGAAGAGGCTAGATTAGGGGTATAACATCTCATGGTTGTTAGCATTGGGAGAAATTGAATTACACAAGTAAGTGAGTTAACCTTGGCCTGATAGCTCCTCACAAGTAGAAGGCTGGGTTAGTTCGCGAAGGGCGCAGCTACCGAATAACCACCAGTTTCATGTCGAAGGTAATCAGGAAGGTTTAAGGTTGGCATATGATCATACATTTATTCCTGACTACATAGTTGTTAGTATTATGGTCTAGTATGGTTTAGGGGCGCATGGTTGGTATTATTATGACTCCAAATTGTGCATTATTGATATATATATATATATATATATATGATTTTTTGTTTAAAGCCCGGTCATATAGTTGTTATTATGGTGGCCGAGACTATATGTTATCTTACATGTTTATGTTTATTGCCAATTGCATCTGTTTTTGATTGATACATAACTGTATAAATTAGGTGAAATTTGGTTACTGAGTGATTGTACTCACCCCTCAATTCTCAATATTTTCAGGGTTTAGCTCATCAAGTTAAGACCAGGGAAAATGAGTCGAGGTATAGGATTGTAAAGCAATCCTTTGTATGCCTCTTTATGTTGTTTTATGTGTATTAAGATTGTTAACTTGCCAATTAGGAATCACATGGATATTTTTAGTATTACTTGCATTATTATTATATCACACTTGTGTATTTTGTGCCCTAGGTTAGTAAGTTTTAATTGTAAACCTTAGTATAGGACCAAAATACTTGTGTAAATAGGAATATATATATTTTTACTGGGTTGGAATGAAAATGATTGTTTTGTGCAAAAAATTCCTCCCCCTTGTGTTTTATGTGTTATGGGGTTGAGTGATAAATTTGTGATATATATATTTTTGGTTGCGTGTGGTGTATTGCATGAGTCCTATAGAGTATATTCAGTGTAGTCTAAGAATAGTTATGAGCTTAAGGTATTTGTTTGTAATTTTAGACACTCTAATTATTGTAATGACCCTAAATTTTAAATTGGACAAAAAATTCTCTCAATAGATATTTTATTTAAATAAATTTTATAATAAATAGAAATTGTTAGTTTAAAAGAACTCGCGCTAGAAATTTTCTTGAGGATTCAAAGATCAAATTTTTCGAAACAAAAGTTTAGTTTTAAAAGTTGTAGGAAAATTTTGTGTCCTTTCTTGTAATTTTCTCATGTCCTTTCTTGTGATTTTCTCGTGCCCTTTTTTTTAAATTTCTCCTAGTCCCTCTTTCCTTCAGAAACTATTTCTCTTTAGCCAAGAAAACAGAGCATTCTCCCCCCTTCTCTTCACCGACTTTAGGCTTCCTTTCTCTCATCCCAATCGAGTGTTTCCTTATCATCTTCGACTTGTCTTCTCGTCGCCGGCTGTTTCTGTTCAGTTCTGTCAGCTGATCGTGCGTTGCTGTCAATGTGATGCCGCTGAATCTCTGCTCTGTTTCTTCGTTGCTGCTGTGTTGACAGGGTGCATGTGTGTTCGTCTCTTTTCTTTTCTTCTCCTCAACAGCTGGACGTCGGTGTGTGCGTGTAGAGTAAGCTCAGTATCTTCTTTATTTTCTGATATGAAATTCCTGCTTCTCTTTTTTATAGTCACGTTATTTACAGTAGAGAAGTTGAGTCACCGAATATCCTTCTTTGCCATCGTCCCTTGCTCTGTGTCTAAGGAAAGTAAATAATTTTAGATCTTTTAGCTTCGTCATCGTCCTCTCGCTTTGTTGTTAGGAGTTC